ATATATATGAAAAATTGATGTGGGTACTCAAATGAAAGGTCTCGATGAGTGTAATGTCGGGGTGAGCTTATATCTTTAAAAATGTCAATAGTTTACAAAATACAAGGTCATTTGTAAATTATGTTAAATTGCACTATGCTTTCTTAAATATTGACATTTTTGAAGATATAAGCTCATCCCGATGTTACACTCATCAAGAGCTTTCATTTGAGTACTCACATGCATTTTGATATATTTTTCATATATACATAAATATAAATATATGAAAAATTGATGTGGGTACTCAAATGAAAGGTCTCGATGAGTGTAACATCGGGATGAGCTTATATCTTTAAAAATCTCAATAGTTCATAAGATACAAGGTTATTTTTTAATTATGTATCTAGAGATACAATACCTTTGCAATGACACTAAATTTCACTAAAAAAAAAAAACGATTTTATCATATGACTATTCTGGAGACAAAATTTTTCTTATTCTCTTTATAATATAGATAATAATAACAATAATAGTAGAACATTTTTTAAGTCAAAGAAAAAATGATAACTTTTTAAAATAAACTTTAAATTTAAATTTAAACAAATAGTAAAAAAATATTACCTATCGTTTCAGTACGGTTATCATCACTCAAAAACGACTTATTTTTATCAACATCTATAGTCGTAAACTGATCATTAAATGCTTGAGTGAAATCAGAACTCATATTGGGCTGGAAAGTATCAGAAATATCTTCTGGCAAAGTCAAGTTCTCTGTTAATGTCGGAATCTGTTCTTTATTAGGTATGACAGTCTCAGCAGATTTTTCTTTTTGTTTTTCTAACTGCTATAAAAAAAAAAAAATATTTTTTATTTACAATTGATTCGTTATTAATAATAAAAAATAAAAAAAAAAAAATTACTTTCTGCGCAAGTTCTGTTTTATGAATTTTCATGTGCTTCCGACAATTAACAGTAGTTTTAAAGGTCTTGTGACAGTAAGGGCACATGAAGGGCCTAACATTGCTGTGAGTAACCAAGTGTCGCTTCATGCTGCTCTGAGTAGAAAATTTGGCATTGCAAACAGTGCAATTGTAGGGTCTAGAAGCTTCATGAGTTTGTAAGTGAGCTTTGAGGACGCTGTTGGAGGTAAACCGACCCTCGCATTTCGGACACTTGAAGGGCCGTTCCCCGGTGTGACGTCGATAGTGCTGCTTTAAGTGGCTAATTTTTCTAAATGCTGCCGAGCAAACCCAGCACTTGTGAGGCCTGCCAGCGCTGTCTTTACTGTCGTCGCCCGATTGCTTGGATTTAACATGAGCAACACTTATTTTGTCTCCAGCGTCACTTATCACCAGTGGCTCTTCCAATACAATTTGCGGCATCAACGCTTCTGCGTCCGCTGACAACTTTGACTTTTTTGCGTGGTTCTGCATGTGACTCTTTAATACAGCACTCGTACTGAATGATTTACCGCAAGAATTACACTTGTGGGGTTTTGTATGCGTTCTAGATTCAAAATAGAAAAAAAAAATATAAAGCTTGAGACTTATTAATAAATATAGCTTATTTATTTATATATTCACCTGGTATGAGCCTTCAAACTGCTGTGACAAGTAAACTTCTTATCGCAAGTCCCGCAGTTGTAATTTTTGGTACCTGTATGTGTACGCTCATGAGCGATCATCGTTGACTTTAAGGCAAACGAACGACAACAGTACGAACACTAAAATTAAAATTTATTTTTTATATAATTAAAATATGTTTTTAGCTTTAAATAATTAAAAATTAACTAGTGACCTTGCAGTCATTAATTACTTTTGATAGATTGCACTGTACTTTCTGAACTATTGACATTTTTAAAGATATAAGCTCATCCCGATGTTACACTCATCAAAAGCTTTCATTTGAGTACCCACATACATTTTGATATATTTTTCATATATATGTATATATATAATATATACAAATATATGAAAAATTGATGTGGGTACTCAAATGAAAGATCTCGATGAGTGTAATGTCGGGGTGAGTTTATATCTTTAAAAATGTCAATATTTTACAAGATACCAGGTAATTTCTTAATTATGTTAAATTGTACTGTACTTTCTTAACTATTGACGTTTTAAAAGATATAAGCTTATCCCGATGTTACACTCATCAAGAGCTTTCATTTGAGTACCCACATGCATTTTTATATATTTTTCATATATACATATATAATATATATATAAATATATGAAAAACTGATGTGGGTACTCAAATGAAAGGTCTCGATGAGTGTAACATCGGGATGAGCTTATATCTTTAAAAATATCAATAGTTCACAAGATACAAGACTATTTTTTATTTATCATATGACTATCTGGACACAAAATTTTTCTTTCTCTCTAAATAATATAGATTATTAAAATGTACCTTGTAAGGTTTTTCTTGAGTGTGCACTCGTAAGTGACGAATTAAATCCGATGGTTTTTTGAACTCTTTATGACAATACGAACACGAGTACCATTTTGTATTTCCCACACTACGTTGTTTTATTGTAACATACCTTCTATAAAATTATAAAATATCTATAAATTTTATTTAAGAAGATTTTTATTCATAATTTATAATTTTTGTTTATTAATACCTCAAAGAACCTTCAGTTCTATCCAATAGAGTTACAAAAGAGCTTTGTACATCTTCTTTAGCTACTTTTTTGGGAGAATCCGAATTGTCTAAAAATTTTAAAATAATAATGGATAAAAATACCTACTTAAAATAAATAAATAAATGAAATAAAATTTACCAGCATTATGATTTTTCCCTTTCTCTGACAACCCAGAAATCTTCAAAGCTTGTTGCAAAATATCACTTTTGCTTGTTGTATCAGCGGACTTTTTATCGCTCAAGTCCGAGGCTGAATTATCACATTTCTTTTTAAACAACTAAAAAATTAATGCGTGTTATTTTAATTATATTTAATAATTTTTTTTCACCTAACCCTTGCAAGCAAGATACTAAAGAGTACTTAAGCTGTTTATGGCTTATGTAATTATAATTATTATATACTCTTTTAAGTACCTCTATCGGAATCTCGTGAGCTTTTTTTACGTGTATACTTAAACTTCCCAGTTTTTTAAAAGCACAAGTACATTGGGAACACGGATAAATCGTCTCGTCATCTGGTTGACGATGTACTCTTTTAATATGCGCGTTTAAATTACCTAAAATATAAATAGTTTACATTAAAATTTGTTATTTTATTTTTTGTCGAAAAATTAGGTATAAAAAATGTTAATTTTACCTTTTTGGCTAAATTTAGAATTACATTGGTCACAATGATACGGTCTAAGACCTACATGCTTCCATTTATGAATTTGGAGAGAACTTTTTTGTGTAAATGATCGATTGCAAATATTACACTGTAAAAAAAAATATTTTTATTAATAAAATAATTATAAAAAAAAAATATATATTTTTATTAATAAAATAACTAAGAACTTTGCAGTCACTATGTGACTGCCGTGACTAGTGTACTATAAATAAATACAATTTTGTTTTATTAGAAAATGACTTATGTTAAATTGCACTATACTTTTTTAACTATTGACGTTTTTAAAAATATAAGCTCATCCCAATGTTACACTCATCAAGAGCTTTCATTTGAGTACCCGCATGCATTTTCATATATTTTTCATATATGGGTGATTCTCTGTAAGGATTTTTTGTGCTGTCCCGGGCATGTTTTTATTAGAAATATTGTTATTTTGTTACTAAAAAAAATTTTTTATGAAAGTAAAAAAACATTTCTATTTGGAGCATTGAAAACTAAAATGAAATAAATTTTGGTTTTTTTGCTATAAATTCGTAAACCACCGAAATAACAGTCCCCTGGGCTGTCCCATTCCCAAAATTAAAACTTTAACATTAAATTTTAAGTTATTCCTCCATAATATATAATTTGGTCCATAATGTTTATAAACTTAATTAGTTAACTGACAATCTTCTTCAATAAAAAGTACCAAAGATTAATTTGTTTTATTAAATTCATTAAACCAAAGTTTGTCCCAGGCATTTTAAGAACAGTCCCCTGCCAGAAGTTCAAAGCCAAAAAAAAAATCCAGCGTGTTATTTTACCTTTTGTAAGGTTTATAAGGACCTAACTAGCCTTGAGTTAATAACCATAGGGCTGTTAGCGCTTTATCGCCATTTTATTTAGTGTCTAAACACCGTTTGTGCTGGAAATATGTGTCTGGGCCACTTCAAAACTCAGTCCCTGGCAACTATTTTTATTTATAATTTATTTATAAAATTGGATCCATAAGTCTTAATATTATTCTAATTAATGTAAATATTCATTGATAACTTGAAAAGCTGAATGCATTGTAATAGTTTGCTTGATTTTTCTCAATTTGATAAAAAAAAAACAGTCCCCTGGCAAACAGTCCCATGTCATGTTATATGGCAAAAGATACACAAATATTGAAAAAAAAAAAATTTTATCGGCTGTGTAATTATTATCATTAAGCTGATAGTTTCGTAGCCCTTGTTAATTTTTTTTCTAATAAAATCAAAACTAATTTGATCGGACAATTTTGTACAGATTTAAGACGTCCTTGCAGAGAATCACCAATATGCATATATATAAATATATATGAAATATATGAAAAATTGATGTGGGTACTTAAATGAAAGGTCTCGATGAATATAACATCGGGATGAGCTTATATTTTAAAAAATGTCAATAGCTCACAAGATATTTATTAAAATGCCCTGTACTTTCTTAAGTATTGACTTTTTTTAGAGATATAAGCTCATTTCGGGGTTACACTCATCAAGAGCTTTCATTTGAGTACTCACATCAATTTTTCATATATTTATATATATTATATATATGTATATATGAAAAATATATCAAAATGCATGTGGGTACTCAAATGAAAGCTCTTGATGAGTGTAACTCCGGAATGAGCTTATATATTTAAAAATGTCAATAGTTCACAAGATACAAGGTCATTTCTTTATTATGTATCTAGAGACAGAGCATTTTCGAATGAAGTCTAAATACTTATTATCATAAATTCTAAAAAAAAATTATTTTAAATAAAAATAAAAAAATTTACCGAAAAAGGTTTTTCGCCTGTATGTACTCTGAGATGTCGCATCAATTGACTGGGTTTTTGGAAAATTTTTAAACATATTTTACATTTATACATTATTTTATTAGTCAACCCTCTTTTTGTATGCCTGACCATCTTCGTCTGCAACTAATAGAAAAAAAAAAATAAAAAATAATCATTATAAATGATAAAGTATTCATTCTTATTTAAATTCCTACATCAAGTTTCTAAGAATACAGACGAAATTTAAGAATACTCACTTTATAATGTTCTCGGATGTGAATGCGATAAAGAGCAGGCTGAGTAAATTGCTTGTTGCAGAGTTTGCACTTTTTTACGTCATCCGTTGACCATTTTTCATTGTGAAGTTTCAAATGTGCTTCCAGTTGAGTCTGTAACATTCAAATATTTCATGTATCAATAATCTTATTTTTTTTTATTTTAAATTCCATAAAATTCATTATTTAATTCCAACAGATTTGCAGAAGATTAGTACCTTGTAATAATGAGCACTAAGACCAAGCGCAAAATGAAATACTCGAGAGCAAATGACTAGAAGCGCGAAATTCATACAATCAACAGCGAGCGTCATCGTACAGGACGCAAATATTTAAGCTGATTGCAGGCAATGTCTTATAAAAATATAAATTATTTTAAATATTTATTATTTCATTTTGACTTTCATATTAATTTATTTCAAATAATAAAATTCATAATAAATTATTTAATACGTCCTCGGCAGTACTAATTAATCAGCAGACTTATTTTTGGAATAAAAATTATGAACACAATTGATTTTGAACACATAGGAACACTTTGTTTGGAATTCATTTAATTTATTTATTTAATTGAATGCATTGTCTTTTCTTTGGAATAATTCGACAGATATTTTAGTGAACGGTTTAATTAATCCAGACGAACCGAAGGCAAAGAAGAGACCCTTCGTTAGGAAGAACGCTCTGTTTGCTTGTTCATTTGAATCCAACGGAGTTGCGGTGAGTATCCACGAGGGCATCATAATCATACACAAACTCTGAACTTGTGTGTTTAATTTTTGTTTGGTATTTTTTGCTCTATTTTTTAATCTAAACTTTTTTTTTAGATTTTTTTAATCTCCTCTTTTTATACTCTGCCTTCTTCTTCTTCCCAGCGATGATTTGCCCGATAATTAAATCACTTGCTGATAAATTTTGTTTTTTGACTAGTTTATCTATAATTTTATTTATTTTATAATTACCATGGATTTATAACTATAATTAAATTATTAACTAATAGCAACCTTGCAATCACTATGTGACTGCCGTTACTTATGAACTATATATAAATAAAATTTCACGTTATTAAATTATGATGTTTGTTAAATTGCACTGTACTTTCTTAAATATTGACGTTTTGAAAGATATAAGCTCATCCCGATGTTATACTCATCGAGACCTTTCATTTGAGTACCCACATGCATTTTTGATTTATTTTTCATATATACATATATATAATACATATAAATATATGAAAAATTAATGTGGGTACTCAAATGAAAGGTCTTGATGAATGTAACATCGGGATGAGCTTAGATCTTTAAAAATGTCAATAGTTCACAAGGTATTTGTTAAAATGCCCTGTACTTTTTTAACTATTGACGTTTTTAAAGATCTAAACTCATCCCGATGCTACACTCATCGAGACCTTTCATTTGAGTACCCACATGCATTTTTGATATATTTTTCATATGTACATATATATAAATATATAAAATATATGAAAAATTGATATGGGTACTCAAGTAAATGGTCTTGATGAGTGTAACATCGGGATGAGCTTAGATCTTTAAAAATGTCAATAGTTCACAAGATACAAGGTAATTTCTTAATTATGTATCTAGAAATAGAGCATTTTCGAATGCAGCCCAAATACTTATCATAATAAATTTAGTATCGGTAAGAATGAAATGAAACCTTGAAAAGGCACAAATTTAAGTCAAGACCTTTGCAATGACACTAAATTTTACGAAAAAAACCGATTCTATCATATGAATATCCAGGACACAAAATTTTTCTTATTCTCTTAATAATATAGGTTATTAGTAACAATAATTTTTTACAGTAATTGATTTTTCAATAAATTTTGATTTGAATAAATTATATTGATATTTCTAGTAATTGTGAATACATATTCAGTACATTGTAATGAGTGTTGGTATGTTAAATTATTAGCACAGACCAATTGTCGTGTCAAGTGTCAAGCAGACTCATTGCGCGGTGTAATATATCATTGAAAGAAAAATTAACGTCCAGTGTAAATCTTTATTCTTGGATGTTACTCTACAGTCTCATTAAAGTTCGCGTATATTATAAATTATAATACATAATATAGTAGTTTGGTATTAAAAATTAACACCCAACTGTCTAAAAATAAATTGCAAGTACATATAATAAAAAATAATTACAATAATAAAGAAGAAATGAAAATAAATAAAGAGCGCAAAAAATAAAATTACAGAGACAGTTATCTTAAAACCAGACCGATAATCATCATTATTATTGTTATTATTATTTTGCACACTTTCTGTTTTGATAGTTTACTTTTTTAACGATAATTGTTATTTTAAAATATTACGAAATATTATAATACAGTTTTGATAATTTAGTTTAGCGATAAGTGGGTTAATTTTAAATATTAATCGATAAGTGATAACAATTGGTGACAGTATGTCAAAAAATAATTTGTATAATTAAATAGAATAAATAACAACAGTTAACATAAATTGAACTATGGAATTTACGTCAGTTCCTATTTTACATCTCTGTTATTCTGTTTCAGGGTTAATAGCAGCAGTTATTAATATAACTATAAACCCGACTGAGCTTTGCGCGTACACACGTGCAATTCCTATCAGTAAAGTTCAACGATTTTATTTATCAATAATATAACTGCAATTTATTTTATTTAAAAAAAAATTTTTTTTCCAATTTTGAGAAATTTTTTTACTTGATTTAGTATCGGTAAGAATGAAATGAAACCTTGAAAAGGCACAAATTTAAGTCAAGACCTTTGCAATGACACTAAATTTTACGAAAAAAACCGATTCTATCATATGAATATCCAGGACACAAAATTTTTCTTATTCTCTTAATAATATAGGTTATTAGTAACAATAATTTTTTACAGTAATTGATTTTTCAATAAATTTTGATTTGAATAAATTATATTGATATTTCTAGTAATTGTGAATACATATTCAGTACATTGTAATGAGTGTTGGTATGTTAAATTATTAGCACAGACCAATTGTCGTGTCAAGTGTCAAGCAGACTCATTGCGCGGTGTAATATATCATTGAAAGAAAAATTAACGTCCAGTGTAAATCTTTATTCTTGGATGTTACTCTACAGTCTCATTAAAGTTCGCGTATATTATAAATTATAATACATAATATAGTAGTTTGGTATTAAAAATTAACACCCAACTGTCTAAAAATAAATTGCAAGTACATATAATAAAAAATAATTACAATAATAAAGAAGAAATGAAAATAAATAAAGAGCGCAAAAAATAAAATTACAGAGACAGTTATCTTAAAACCAGACCGATAATCATCATTATTATTGTTATTATTATTTTGCACACTTTCTGTTTTGATAGTTTACTTTTTTAACGATAATTGTTATTTTAAAATATTACGAAATATTATAATACAGTTTTGATAATTTAGTTTAGCGATAAGTGGGTTAATTTTAAATATTAATCGATAAGTGATAACAATTGGTGACAGTATGTCAAAAAATAATTTGTATAATTAAATAGAATAAATAACAACAGTTAACATAAATTGAACTATGGAATTTACGTCAGTTCCTATTTTACATCTCTGTTATTCTGTTTCAGGGTTAATAGCAGCAGTTATTAATATAACTATAAACCCGACTGAGCTTTGCGCGTACACACGTGCAATTCCTATCAGTAAAGTTCAACGATTTTATTTATCAATAATATAACTGCAATTTATTTTATTTAAAAAAAAATTTTTTTTCCAATTTTGAGAAATTTTTTTACTTGAAAAAAAAAAAAAAATTTTTTTTTATTTTTCAAAATTTATTTATCAATAATATTCTTGCAATTTATTTTATTTAAAATTTTTTTTCAAAATTTACTTATCAATAATATTACTGAATTTTATTTAATTACCGTAAAAATTTTTTTTTATTTCAAATTTTGAGATTTTAAATTTTTTACTTAAAAAAAAAATTAATTTTTTAATCTTTTTTTTCAGAAAAAAATAAAAAAAATGATAGCCCGGTTATCGATATGAAAGTTCAACAAAAGTCTTTTATTTTGTACGATAATAACGGAGCTAACACAGATTGGATGATAGGTCTCTTTTATTCAGAGTCGCCCAACCCGGTCCTCAAGAATTGAAGGAACCTCTATACTACTCTTTTTTTAGTAATATCTTCCAGCTCAATAATTTAAGATATGATAATTCTAACTTAAAGAATATAATGTGTGTAATTGTATAAAATTTGCGTTATAAAAACAAAAACGTGAAGAAAAAGATAAAAAATTTGTATGCACTTATTTTTAAATGAAATAATTTACTCGCGAATTTCTGGGAAGTTTAAAGATGCCATTAAACCTCATAAAGCGACATGGCACGAGGAGGAATCTGAGCGTGGCGGAATCAACCGGCGGTCTCTGATCATCGTCGCTTGCACCAGCCATACGATTATTATATATTCTTCTCTCTTCCTCGGTACATCTTCCTCCTCTTCCTCCTCCATACATTACGCAGCATTACGTCAACTTTATGGCAATATTCGCGTATCACGGGACCGCTGATGCCTTTAAAAGGCTCACCTCAACTCTCAACTTCGCAATTATTCATTTTAAAAATGAATATGCTCTAAGTGAAATTTTTTTCAACGCGGTTTTTACTTTCATTAACTTTCGCGGGTTAAAATCGGGCTACCAAATACGAGCTTCCTCATCATCATAAAACAGCCATTCATAATTGGGAGATAAAGAATATTTATTTTATTGCTTTTGGTTAAGTTGAATGAAACTATTTCATTCATTAAAAAATTTTAACTCTAGTAAGGAAAAAAAATTATTTTTTTTTAGGAATTTATTTTTAGTAATATACTTATTGATAATAAAACTCACTTAAAAAAATTTAATCTCATGCACTGAGAGAAAAGATTTATTTTAAAAAATTTGGGTATTTTTATGAGAAGAAATTAATTTTTTGGAAATTTTGGTAACCATTTTAATTTTTATTTTTTTTGAACGAAATTTCTATTTGATTTTATGGATATATATATTTTTTTTTTAAATATATAAAAAAAATTAACAATTTAAAAAAAAAAGTTGATTATCACAATTTTAACAAATTTTCAAAAAAATTTATAAATTTTTTAGAAAATTGTTATTCAACTTTTTTTTTTTTAAATTGTTCATTTTTTATGTACTTTTCAAAAAAATATATATCAAAAATATCAAAAAAAGATAAAATGGAAAAAACGAGCCAAAATTTTTTCCAACTTTTTAAGACAAAAAAGACGAAATCTTCATTTTTTCGTTTACGACATTTTTTATCAT